GCTGTGAAGACGGCTACTAGCACACGGTTTAATAGAAAGTCATTCGCACATGCCTAAATCGAAGTATTCCATGAGAGTCACAAGCGGTAACCCAACATTCTAGGCGACGCATATCGAACGTTTGAGCAATCAAGACCCAAATTACTCCCCAGAGCGACGAAATTGGCATAAAAAACAACTACGCCTAAGCATCAATCAGTGTAACTAGGCTATAGCAAAAGAAAATAGCATTATAAACATTCGTGGAGTGCGCAAGCAAAGGTAGCCAAAGTGTCAATTATAAAATAGAGCATGTTGATGATGAACCCTACAAAGCTTAAAAAGCAATAACCAGTGCAAAAGAAGCCCCTTTCTCCCTGTTCATCAAAGAAAATGGGCTGTAAAGGTATGCAGACATTTAGCGACAAAAAAAAGAACATCGTTATCCCCATGTTTGAAGATGAACGCACCAGTGAGGACGACAGGAATTAGTAATGGTGAACAAAAGGGCGCAAACCGGAAGCAACTTGCCTCAATGTTGAAGAAGTGAACGTTAATAGCGTTGCGATACTCCGGCTCCAAGGTCCCACTAGATGAGAAACCGGAGAACCCAAATCCGGAAATCAGCATCGCCAATGCACCTGGAAAGACACAGAGAAGACGCAATTATGGTGTGTCTAGGAAGACGTACTACAATAAACAATGCGGAATGATAAGATAGATGCACTCACTGATTGACCAGGCGCAATAGAACTTTTGTCTGAGGTAAAAGCCATACAGAGTGAGCCAAAAATACTTTCGGAAGATACCAAGTCGTTGAAACTCTTCCGCTGAATAGGAAAATGGGAAGTCATTCTTTGGTGAGGAATTTTAACCCATCAAACAAAGTATTTTGCATTTGTGGTTATTCAATGCCTTAAAGCGACAAGCTCGTAAGTAGTTCAGATGGTGAACTTACCCCATTGGAAAAAGACTAATAAAAAGGCGGAATAAGGCGAGAATGGGGCACGAATGAGTGGAAAGGCATTAATGCAAGGGCGAGATACATGTAGAAAACACGGAAATGGACTCACGCATCCGCTGAAATCCGTTTGAAAAAAAAAACTAGTAAACACGTTAGTGCAGTGGGGATGACGAATGGAAAGGAACTTAATTTAAAACAGTGAAAGGATCAAATGGCGATAGCAGTCCCAAATGCGGGGTAAGTAATCACTCGTTCCGTTTGTGGCTCACTCATCGCAGCAACCGTACAATCACACGGGTGTCAAAAAAAAATTTGCTGGAAAAATTCGAGTACCAAGCGCTAAAGCCCTCCAATGAACGCAGAGAGCTAAACACGCAAATATGCACAACCCATGTACAGAGGGTTGCAAGATTTTACATTAATCATGAGGGGGTGCGGAAGTGCCACTTACAAATGAGATACTCCGGGTCATACCGTCCCAGCGCGTAGAGAGTGAGCAGGACGTGAAAAAGGAATGCGATTGCTTGGGTCCTAAGGGCTGCCTAAGGAAAGAGAATTGTTCCAAACGTTCAACGGGCAGCACATGGAAGTCCGTAAAACCAGTAAACCATTGCATGACAGCACAGAACGCGCCATGAGTTAGTGGTGTGAACTATTTGAACCTTATCTTCCTCCAACCCGACCATATAAAGCAGTGCAATAATTCATAATTCCTTTTAAAAGTAAAATCCCACCCACTCTAAACAATTGCTTAGAAAGCATCACAAATCACACATGAGCGCCTCATTCGATGAAAAATATGTTAGCGGCTTCAAAATCAATCCATCCGATAAAACCTCGCAGAGTTGAGTTAAAATTCAAAGGGCCAAAATAAAAACGCTCGACGAGGAATCGTGAAAAAAATTCGAAATCAAGTTGCATATGCCAACTAAAATAGGATTAAAACGACAGGAAAATTTAGAGTAAGTCCAATTAGCGAAGAAAACGAACCTTGGCATCACGAATTTTTGGTTTGTTCTTTGTCTAAGGACATGCAAAGAAAGGGTCAGAGACACAGAATTCCAATTCGGAAGGAAAAACTTGTATTTAGGTGGCGAAATGAATTAAACCATAAGACTTACCACAAAATCCCGTTCAAATGGATCAGTAAGCAGGTCCTCCTCGCGGCCTTCAATAAAGCAGAGGTATTCGGTGTAGAAAAGAAATGGTCCAACCATAGAGTTTTGGAAGCAAAGAAGGTATCCAAAAAAGGGTAACAACATCGGCGACTTTCTAAGCCATACAAAAAAGTGAGGACCAGCTTACTTGATTGCATGCAATTTCTGTGATTCCCTTGAAACCTTCTTACCAGTGGCAAGGATTTCGCCATCGTACAGATTGAATGCGAGGGAGGACAGCTTCTGCGTTTGAATCATCAACGGTCTGAAAATGGATGGATGTAATCAGGGGCTTACGCGGTAATATCAACCGATTGTCGTCTTGCATCCACAACGCTAAGTCTTTGGATATGAACCCATGAAAGAAAAGCCATAGTAAACACAAGTACGGCGTATTGGGCGATATGCGGAGGAAGAACAAGCATCATAAGGTAGGCTGGTATAGCCTGCAGAAACAACAGCGCAACGCGTCTAAAGACACTAGAAGAAGGCTAAATACTTACTCTTCGTAGCAAAGATATATGATGGCGGCGCCAACGACGACTTCTGTAATATGTCGCCATGTGGATGCCTGCTTTCTCGGAGGAAGGTAAGTTTTTAGCAGAAAACCAGATAGAAAGGCCAGAATCTGGGACAAAAAAAACGCCACCTTCGAAAATAACATGAAAAAAGGCAATGAAACCTGATCAAATGGAACACCGAGAAGCAAACCAACACGCTCAACAATGAGCAGCACCATCAATATTTCCGAACGCGGGTCGAGGCCAATTGCGTCATGCTCTTGGAAAGTATCAACAAGAAAAATTTGTGGAAAC